CGATATAGAAAGAGAATGTTTAGAGGAGGATGTTGCTCTGTTTTACTGCTCAATGAATTGTAATACTGGCTTTTTTTTTTCTTTTTTTAAAGACGAGAATAAAAATATTGCTGAAGGACTGTATCAGAAGGTGAAAATACTTTGTTGGGTGATGACTGGACCTCAAAATCTAGAAAAGAAAGCCAAACATGTTAAGGCCACTTGGGCCCAGCGTTGTAATAAAATACTTTTTATGAGCTCTGAGGAAAATAAAGACTTTCCAACTGTGGGCTTGGAAACCAAAGAAGGCAGGGACCAACTGTACTGGAAGACTATTAAAGCTTTCCAATATGTTTATGACCATTATTTTGATGATGCTGATTGGTTTATGAAAGCAGATGATGATACATATGTTATACTGGACAATTTGAGATGGCTTCTTTCAAAATACAGTCCTGAGCAACCCGTATACTTTGGAAGAAGATTTAAACCTTATGTGAAACAAGGCTACATGAGTGGAGGAGCAGGATACGTTCTAAGCAAAGAAGCTCTGAAGAGATTTGTTACAGCATTTAAAACCAACAAGTGCTCTCACAGTTCTTCTATTGAAGACCTAGCACTAGGAAAATGCATGGAGATTATTAATGTGGAAGCAGGAGATTCTAGGGATACAAGTGGTAGAGAAACTTTTCATCCCTTCGTTCCAGAACATCTCTTAATCAGAGGATACCTACCAAAAACGTTCTGGTACTGGAATTATAATTATTATCCTGCTATAGAGGTAAGTCCTTAGAATACTGGTACCCATTATATGCTGTACATCTTGTGCTGCTCTGCTGTGTCAATTAGCAGTATAATGACAACTAAACGTCTTTTACGCCAAAAGATTTTTGTAGTGAGATCCTGAGATACGTTTGTGCGCAAAAGTGTTAAATGTGCTTGTCATCAACTGAAACTTGATGGTAAGAACTTAACGTTCCAGAAAAGTTAGTGAATCTTAAATTAGCATTGCTATTTTGCTATGTTCTGTGGACACCAACAAATGATGAAAGCTTTTTACTAGGTTTGTCTGTTGTCACCATTACCACCTTCCTTGAAAAGGTTTTGTTCTCTCTATTTTGTTCCCCCCTATGTCACATACAATGCCCCTAGCTTCTTCTCCAGCCCCCCAGCTACCAGTTGGGCTTGGGGCAACGTGCGGTGTGGTTCAGTCCGAGTTGTGTGTGCTGACTGAACAGAGCCAGGTCAAATAGAATGGCTTAGTTGACATTAAAGCCTGCTGAAAGAGAAGAGGGTACTGATATGCCTCTGTCTTCTACCCAACTGCAGACTTTGCATAAAGCCTATAGGAATAGAACCAATTTTGAGACTTTTGTCCACTGTTGTAGTTGGTTAAAATTGGCCAAGAGATTCCCAAGTTGCTGGAGGGATTGGTGGGTAATGGTATGTGTGACTACGTTGTCCGCTAGTCTTTTTGCCTTAAATGGAGAGATGTTACAATAGACTTCTCTTATCTCTGATAACTGTGAGTAATATCTGGCTTGAATGATGGTAGTGCCCCTTATTTTTTTTTAATGTAAGGCTGTTAAGATGTACGTGTAAGTGATTGTTCCAATTGGCAATGAAAAGATTACGCAAGATTAAACGTAGTCTAGAAATCAAATAAAAGCATGACGCAACCTAGGAATTATAACTAGGCTTCTGAAACATTCTTCCTGTAAGAACCTCAGATTGTCCTTTGTGTTCCCCATCTGAATTCCACAGTTTAAAAAAAAAATTACTCAAAGTTAAAAGGATCTAAAGGTATTCAGTAAAGTTTATGATTTGCACATAATCTGTGGTGCATGATGAGGCTTCTTTTTCAGGATTGTAATCTCACTTTTGAATGTTTTATTTTTCAGGAATTTTTGAGATCTATGTAGGTGGCCAAAATCAAGAATAGGATTTCAGATTTTTTTTTTAATGTGGTGAGGTTAGAAAAAAAATGTTTGATATATTCTGTTCATTGTAAAATATCTATTTTTAGATTGTATTCAGTAACTAGGGCATTTCATATATAAAAAGCAGCTAAGATTCTGTATTTACTGTGTCAGGATGCAACAGCTTCAGATAGGGTTGCAGTTCAGGGGTAGTTGAGCTGTGGGCAATTATATCCATAACTCACTCAGTGGTAGTTGGGAACTGTAACAGAGCTTGTGCATATTTAATTCTATCCTATTATGTTTGTGTTTGCATAGAGACTATATTACCTGGTATCAAAAGTAAACTATACTGGTCTTGAGTTTCTGTGGTCAAGCCTAGTAGATATTGAAATAATAACAATTATATAGCAATCATGCTCTTCACTACCTTCCAAAATTGAAGCTTAGTTTCAATGAGAGACGGAATATTATCTTTATGAGCTCTGCTATTAAATCTAATGAAAAACAATTAGTATCTTCCACATCTCCTGGCTCCTAAGTTTTTTTTAAATCTATCACGTTTACCAAAATTTTCTCTCTGGCAAATAAGCTTCACAAAACATTGTCTTTTATCTGAGAGTAATCTCAGCTATCAATGCTTGTAAGCGTTCACTATTGTGGAGGCTGCAAAGAAGTTCTAAATTTTTGTTGTTGCATCAGTGTTCTTGTTTTCCTTGATCGCTCCCTTGTTCAGTAGCTTAATAACCTTGTTCGTTCCTAATTAAAGATTTTTTTTTAATTCTAAACTGCATAGATTAGATTATCGTTTTTTAAAACAATATTTTGTTGCATATGTTTTCTTGTGCTCCCGAGTGTTTTTCTTCAGTTTATATGACTTCATTTTAATTTTGACTGACCTGAACTAAACTTACAATTTGAGTACTTGTTTAAACAAGTCCAGCCTTTTGACCTTTCACTTTTAACCATATTCAGGAAAAAATTATCATTTTTCATTTAGATTTCTGCATATCTTTTGTAGGTCATATGCTGAGTGAGAAGATGTTTGCCTTGAGATTAATGTTGATAAGAAATTTCAGAGAAATCTAAAAATACGTAAATCACAGCCAGTATATCCTGAAGTTGAATCACAGCTCGTCAAAAGCAAGTTGCAATTACTATATTAACAATAATCGTTTAGCTCTAGAAATGCTTAGTAGTGTCAATGAAAGTAGTAAACGTAAATAAATAAATAATTACGAGAATGTTCGTAGGAAGGTAGGTACTGATGACTTTGCCAAATCACATAGTGTGTCACCACACACAGATACATGCGGTTGGCTGTATACTCTGGATGAATCCTGTCATGCATATAAGTACGTACTGTTTCATATAGAACTGCAGTATACAGGCCTAAGGCTGCTTGCTGCTTTGCAGTTTTGTTTAAACATTTTTAGCTTAAAAAAAAAAAAAAGACATGGAAAAGCAAACAAAACTTTGCCCTCTGTCCTTAATGAAGGCAGCTTCAGCTTCATCATTGGCTTGATTACAGAAGCAAAAGACTTTGCCCAACTTCATTTTGGACAGGTGCTTAAGTAAATCTGTCCAACTGATCCATTTTGCTTGGCTAATATGAAAGTTTTGAAGTGTATGAATGATTGATAGTAAATACTAAGTTTCTTACCATGAAGTCAAGTGTGTATTTGAATTTTTCCTGGAGTATATCTAGGGCATGCTTTGGAATTCTTGCTGATTACTTTGGCTTGTTTTGTATTTTAGGGTCCTGGATGCTGCTCTGATCTCGCAGTTTCATTCCACTATGTTGATTCTATGACTATGTATCACTTGGAGTATTTGATTTATCATCTCCGTCCATATGGGTATTTGTATCGGTACAATCCTGATTCTGCAAAGAATCTGGAAGAGCAGAACAAAAAGGAAGCACTGGAAGATAATCGAAATCTAAAGCAAAAAATTTCTGAGAATTAATTGGGCCTTGAAGAGAACTAAAAGAAGCCAGTATGGTGAGCAAGAATGTCCTTGAAATCCTGCATCCAGCTTGGACAGAAGACCAGAATTACTCGTGGTGATTCTTATATCCAAAATCTTACGTTGGCAGTATTTCCTGTCAATGTCTGTATACAGCAGGGTCTAGTGCTGGCTCTGACTATTTGCAGCCCTACTCATGAAGATTTGGGCCCTAAAGCTGTGAAATGGGAGGTTGTTCTGTTACATTAGTACCTGGAAGAAGTTGTATTAGAAATGTGGTGGACAGATTCAAAGATAATCATACAGTATTTCTATTCCTTTTCTGTTCCTTTCTTTGTTTCCTTCCAGATGTTCTGTTAGGTCAGTTCTAATATTAGAAATTTGATGCTGCACAGTGAAATACTTCATGATGATTTTATATAATATTGTCAGTAACTTGAAGTTATGTTAAATATCTTGCCCTATAAGGAAGGGGTAGGGATGAAAATAGAGCCTGAAATCTGTTTGCCTTAAAGACAGACTAGTTAACGTAAGTAGACGGAGGTCCACCCAAATGAGGTAATCTGAATTGTTTCACAAATGAAATTCATTGCTATGAATTCATTTTTAAACTTTTTACTAAAACTGCCTATTTTACAGAACAACATGAAGTCAAATCACCTCAGTTTTAGGGAGAAATCCAGGAATGTTTAAATTTCTGAGGTGATGTGAGGAGCTTACATATTTGCCTGTGGCAGTGCTTTTTTTTTTTTTTTTTCTCCTGCAGTATGTCAGCTTATCGATTGATTGATTAGATATAAAAATTCATCTCAGAACTTCTCAGAAAAAGATAAAGCGGATGGTTTTTCAAATGTAAGTCTTTCTCTTATCACATCTTCCATGCAACCAAAAAAATTTAGTATCTTAGCAAAGTTACGCTGGCACATAATGAAGTGGTTTCACCCAGTATTATGATTAGTTTATTTCTATTTAATTTTCACATTACTGTATATTGAGATTGTGGAGTTAGCTTGTTCATAAAACTGTACAGGCACAAACAAGTCCTGTTTTAAAACTGCAGCAAAGCTGCTAAAACCCTACACGTTTAGTTTAGTTGGCTAAAATAGTTAATTTCACTTCTCTGAAGATTTTCTATCCTCCTCTTAAACTTTCTTCTGTATTTGTATCTGTTACCTTTTTCAGAGCAAAGTGTTAAACGCTCCTTTGTGAGGCTGAAGTATATACTCATTCAGGTAAACCAGCCTGAATGCAGGAATCTTTCATAGTGCATTAACTTTCTCCACTACTTCGTGAGTGTCTCTGCTTCTTATCTAAAAACACTTTATTGGTGTTTTCTCTGTGGTGACAAAATGTGTATTTTAATTACTGGAGAGTTCTCAGAGGCCAAGCCTACGTTTTTATATACACAGTGTAAAACCTTTCAATTTTCTCTCTTTCAAATTTAGTTAATAGCAAAGTTTTGTGTGTGTGTGTGTGTTTCTTAAGCTTGACATGTAGAGTGTCTTTATTCTACACTTGAAAAAAAGTTTCTTTATCTTTTTATCAGTTTTTACCTTCATCATATTGATGAATTTGGACAAAACCTAATTACCTCCAGCCATTGTTTTGGAAAGGGCACATAGTGGTAGCAGATGGCCTTGTTGAATACTGCTGTCCTTCAGGATGTTCCTGGAAGAGGATATTACCATAAAGTACTGGAATTTTTTTTCCAGAGATAATTGTCACATGGATTGGGGTTCTAACTGTTGTCCAAAAATAGTCTGTCATGACTTCTTTTCTGATTATTACTCTGTAGCATGATGGCGGTTAATGAAATATCTCATGCTATTGAAATATTATATCCACCTTTGCTTCTCTGCCTGAAAGTAGGCTGGTAGGGTTTATATACCATATATCAATTAAATAATTACTGCAGAGTTAAAGCTGTGGGTGCTTTGTGAGCAAGATTGCTTCTGAAGTACTGAAAGGGATAAGAGCTTTATTTTATGTTAATATAGTTATTTAGGAAGTTGTAACTGTTAATCCTTTCAAGGAAGAAAAACCCTCTAGTTTGTGCTAATCAAACGGACACTTGTCCAGAGGAGAATGTATAGTAGCTTCTTTTAGTAAGATGCTTCCTATTGTGAGCTAAATGTTTATCCTACGTGCAAGTCAGACCAATAATATTGTGAAATCCATATGCTATTGATAACTGCAGTGACGTTGTTCAGACTTGCGATTAAAATGTTCTGTAATATTTAAGGAAGTTACAAAATGAAAGCAAGATCCCAACCTCAAACTTTCTCTTTGTCATTTCAGGCTGCATAGAAGGTCTGCTGTACTGCTGTCTGTAATTGCTTATTACTGCTTTCTTCATGATTTCTTCCCTTGGGATTTAAAGATTTTGTTTCACAAGATGGAGAACTAATCTTGCATGTTTTCTGCAGATTTGTGCCTTGTGTCTGCCTTGCCCTACCTGTGAGTGGCATCATTTCCTCTTTGTGTTCCTTAATATCTTTTCCTTGAATCTTCAGTTTTATCACCGGTAAGTCCCAGGTGGACAAGAGGAAGCAGATAATGTGATGTTTGAACTTTATGTGAGTTGATTGCTGAGGTGGTAGGTAAAGCTGGCACTGATCAGTTCACAGTGAAGCCTTTTGCTCGGCAGCGGTTCTAATATTTGTCCACTACCCATCTGCAGCTTTTGGGTTCATCAGAGTGTCTGCCCCTCCACAAAACATGTAGGATCTAAGAGGGAGTGAAGAAATAAAGGCACAAGCAAGCAGCATGTTTATGCAAGCTTCATTTCTTTAGGGAATGAGGCTGAAAAGATCAAGGCTTGTAATAAATAGGTGGCCTGTCTGGAGAAATAAGTGTAGCCTTCTCTTTAAGCATTTATTTTTGCTTTGTTTTGAAGTGTCCTTGTTCCTAGGCCCCTGAAATTATTTCTTCTGCCTTTCTAGCAGTATTGCAGAGAAATTTTTTTTTTGCCTTTCAATATTCAGCCAAGCTTGAGAAGTATTGCTTTATATTCTGTGATTATAGCAGTGGGCTTTTGCTCTCTGTTGGATTGGATTGTCCTAACAATAAGCTGATACCTATGAAATAATTGATTTCTATGTCATCTCCCTTTGAAAGCTTAAGTAGACAAGATTGGAATATGAACGGTTAGTATAATTCTCATATAAAATATTATACAACTATTAGTAGTTTATTATTTCACTCTCAGGTCTTCATGCTTTCAGATTACATTTATTGAGTTTGAGTATTTCTGCAGCCCAAGAAGGCTACTGTATTTCAGGTGGATAGACCTTTCTGAAACAAGAAGCATAGACTTTCTTAGGCTATACAGATCATTGCTCATTTAAGGAAAAAAAAAATTCCTAACTCTATAAAACCTAAAAGCTTCCGTCACCAACACAGTGATTAAAATGATGCAACTAAAGAAGTCCGAGCTAGTTTTCTTGAAATTACTAGGTTGCAGGCTTTCCTTAAACAGTCTGTATTTGGACGTGGGACGCTGCATGGATGTCACTTGGTTTTACAGAACAGTATTTTAACCTTGTGTCACAAGTGTATTTTAACTCGGAAGGAATGAGACTATCCACTTGTTACCTTCTGATCAAAGTTCTTAATTGGAGGATGATGTTAGTCCTTGTTTTCAGAAAAAGACTAATGTTAATCTTCTTTTACTCCTAATTCTTTTTTGCAATCTGTATTAGTCTTGTTTAAAAGCGGTTAAACACTGGTGGTATTAGCACCTTCTTTCATTTTGCAAGAGCTCTTTCCCTGATGCATTTTTGTCTTTGGAGACACTTTGTTTCGCTTTGGGTAGGGTATATGTTAAAATAACTTTTTCTTTACGTATTGCCATTTGTTCTGTTACACTTCCAAAAGTAAAACTTTCAATTAATAGCTGGTAAATCTATTATAAATGGTTTGCTGTCTGGAAAAGGTTTTTTTTTTTATCTCTGTCTTACAGAGAAAAGCATAGGTTATTTCTCTAATGTACCTGCTACTGATGTTAATTGTGCACACACAGATGAAAACAGATCCCTCAATACAGGACTACTTGGAAAGGACTATTTTGTCCTTTCCCTGACAACCTCTGTGGAAGTCCTATGTTTTACCATGCTGTATTTAAAAATATTCCACAAATGTTAATAACTCTAAGAGAATTTAATATTGCTGCTGGGCAGTGTGTTCCATTTAGAACTTGTGAATGTTTCCTTTTGCAATTACGGAGACTCATGTCCCTAAGAAAGGTACGAGTTGTTGACTTGTCTGCAGTGATCACCATAAGAATTTATTTCTTAAATATTTTCATTGAAGTGCCTTTGACAAATTTTTAGCATCAAAATTAAGTTAAGAATTGAACAAATAAAATAAGTTATCTCATATACAGTGTATGTCTGTCTTCATTTATCCCTCCTAAATACTTGTATTATAGCAGCACAATTCAATGTAATAAAAATGCTCCTTTTTTTTAAGCAGATGCAGGAAAACTAAAAAATTCTCACGCTTGCTAACATTTTTTGTTATATGTATGTTGTTAATAAATAGTAAACTATTTAGAAAGCAAAGGTGTTATTTTTTGAATGTAAAATTAATCATAGTTGCTAGTGTAAGATTCACATAAACAGGCAGTTGTTCCTGCATGGTCCCGATTTTCAGTGTCTCTGCATTGTTACATAGACCTGAGTGAACTGATTAAAGCTAATACTTCAATGGTGGAGTAAAGCTATTGAAAATTAACCCCGTTTTGTAGGAAAGACCACCTTTTAAAAGGGTTTATTCTTTCAGTTGTTGTAAAGGTCCCCAGGCATTCACCACTAAGTCAGAGTGACTCTTATACAATCATTTATTTTGGCTCGAGCTGGGTGCCTCTGAAGAGGGACCCAGAACAAAGAAATTCTATGATAATTCTTGGATAATTATACTCCTTACAGTATATCCTTTTGATTGGTTCATGTCTACATCCCAGGACGCTTGCTATGTTCCTGCTTCACAGTGCCTTATCTTATCCAGAGGTTAATCTATACCTCTATCCATTGTTTTTTGTATCTTATCCAAAGGTTAACTGTTACCTCTGTCCATTGTGTTCTGCCTCTTTGAGGGCTGATTCTAGCTGGTTCTGCAGTTGTTTTGTCAGCAGTATCCCACAGGTTCAGTTAAAGTTCAAGCTTAGGCCTGCAGGCTTCACTACTCCAAGCGCTGATGCTAAGTTTAATCAAGATTATGCCAATGGAAATAACAGTAGTTTTCTTACATCAGTGAACCTCTTACTTCTGCAAGAAGACTGTTAAGATTTAAATGCTGTGCTTTCTAACCTAGTTTTTGCTTTTCAGTAATACTATTAAGTATAGAATGATGATTAAATACTTACAGTATATGTCGATGACACTGAATTCAATACAGTTTGTTTTCTGCATTCAGTTTTGCTGGGCCTGTATTGACCTTTCCACCCCGGGTAAATGAAGAATAGCTGTCGGGGCACAGGAGAATTTGGGCAGGAATTAAAAGAAAATTCAGTGCAGTTAAATCGTAAATTTAAATAACACGATCAAATACCTCAACTCTTCAGGGTCATTTTCACACATCTGTTGTGAGCTACATAGCAATTTTAGAACAAATCCAGAATCTCAGCTAAATGTTTTAGTCCTCCAAATCTGATGTGATAGTGTGGCATCTCTGACTAGAGTTTTGTTTTATTTTATTTTTTTCTCCTTCCTTTTTTTTTTTTAATTGGTACAATTAAAGTCCACTACTGACCTTTTCATACTACTTTGCAAAATATCAAGTTAGAAAACTGGGTGTTTTCAAAGTATTGTCTAATGCTGAGGTAGACACTCTTCCTGTGCAAGTGTTACTTTGGTTCATGCAGAATAAGATTCAGCAGTATATTCCATTTGCATTTATTTATTCCATTCTGTTTATTTCAAGATGGGAAGCTTCTTTTCTTTAAGTATAAAAATATTGGATGTTGTACATGGTAGCTACAAGCATGGTACAGCTGTGAATATTTCACTACCTTAGGCTCTATAATACACCCTACTAGTACTATTACCTTGGATTAATTAAC